AAAAACCCCCTACTCATTATACATTTTCTCAATCAGTGGATTCTACAAGTGCAGCTCATCTTTGGGATAATCTGGACATTTCTGGACATGATCAAGTGGGTCCTGTAACTTGGAAAGGGGTGATTGCCGAAGTCCCCTGAGGTCCAAGACTCCAGATCTTATGTACTGCTTGGTCGAGAATTCTGAGGTCCTGTCACTCAAGAGCCTAGATCTCACTCTCCTGTATCCTGATCCTCCCTGAGGCCAATCCGCTCCCCTGATCTGGCTGGCGATGCTGTGTCATCACCATGAAATCCCTACAGTGTGACCCCGAGCTGCTTTTCTTAGCACCGCCCTCCCCAGCAGTTCTAACAGATGGATCTATTTCTGGAGCGGCAGTTCTTCTTGCAGAAGGCACTCTCTGCTCGGAATTAGTGGGTTAGGAATTAAGTCAGCGCAGAGACTGGCAACCACTTCTTCTTCTTCGGGAGGGCTTTACGGGTTTGTTTCTTTTTCATTCACAATTTAAAGTGACTCATTGCTTTTTTGGTTCTGAGAGATTGAAAATGCCGAGCGGAGCAAATGATGAATTCATTGTTTACTACTGCACAATCATCACTAAAGCACCTTATGTTAACTCAGCACTTTTCCCCTCTGACTTGACATTTTCCCCAGTCCACGGGTAAGAAGGGTTCATGGTCCAGAGGCCTGTAAAATAAATGAAAACGAAGGCCGGAATGTAGTGACCGGCTTTGAGTTGCTGCTGCTGTTCTGGAATGTCGAGTCCTGAGTCAGGTTCCCTTGTAGGCCGGCCCCTGATTTCTGCCCCTGTCACTGAGCCCTCACCCCTCACCTGGTGGGAGGCTGGCCTCTCCCCTTAACTCTCAATGGGCCCAAGCTGGCCGGAGTGGCCGAGGGATGCAAGTGTCTTGATACAGCCAAAGTGGGGACAGGATGCAGAAGCGAGGTGAGCACCCCCTTCTCTCTGCACTCATGCTTCTCAAATCTCTATTCAACAGGTTTCAAATGGGTAAAAAAAGGAAAGCAGAGTGTTAGCGGCCAGCATTCCCCAATGACGTGGTGCTATCATCATCCATATTTTGCAAACGAGGACCCCGGGACTCAGGGGAGTCAAGCCACTTGCTTACGGTCACCCAGGTGCTGGAGCCGGGGTGCGAATCCCAGAGTCTGAGCTGATTTATCCTGTTCCGGGAGGCCCGAACTCAGACTCTGACGGAATCAGGACTCTGCCACGGAAACGAAGAGTCCGTCATAGCGGTTAGCAGCATGTTTTCTGGAGGTCTCCCGGGGACAGGAGGCGAACCCCAGGCCTTCCCGGTAGGTTTCCTCCCGGGCTCCGGGGGGCGGCGGTGGTTAAGGCCGCCGCGCCACCTGGTGGTCGTGCCGGGAACTGCACGGCCCCAGCCCGCAGGGGCGTGGCCGTGGGTCGGTGCTGCTGGCGCCCGGCCTGCTCGCCCACGGGGCTGGCTGAGCTCCGCGCCCGGAGAAAGCAGCCTTTCATTTCCCGTTCTCGAATCGCCACTACCGGGGCTGCTTGGAAAGCCACGGGGGCTTCCCGCGGGCAGTGGGCCTGCTGCAGAGCGCCTGGAGTTCCCCGCTCTGCCCCCGGTGTCTCTCCGGGCCTCTGCACCCCGAGCCCACGCTGCCACGTGAGCTTGGCTGCCGCTGCCTCCGGTGACTTTCTCCCCGCGTTACTCCCCACTGCGGGCAGAGGGAGATGTGGATTCCTTGAGTTAATCCGCTTCAAGGGTTTCATCTTTGCTGTTTCGGCTGAGCTCTAACACATTATAAGCTACAGGACCTTGGGCGATTCCCGTGACCTTGGCGAGCGTCCTCTGCAGGAGGGGGCTATGAAGATGCCCAGGCTTTTTTGTGATGATGAAATGAAATGCTGCACTTAAAAGCATGTAAACTGTCACTAAATTTGCAAATGTAGTTGTTCTCAGCCAGTGTTCCCTCCTTACTGCTGGTAGTAGGAGATAGTGCCTGGCCTGGGCAATAGGGCTCAGACTATCCTCCTCTTTACATAAGAGGAGCATGGGTCACCCCACGAGGTGACAGTGAGGTGTCCATGTACAGGAGGGTGGTGAGAGGAGCGACGAGAGAGCTTCCATAAGGAGGAGGAGGGCCAGGGCCACTTCTTCATAATCCGATTTTGGGAATGCTGCTGTCACCTTTGCTTAGGGGTCTAAGAGGTCCGTTACAATATTGCTACATTCCCACACGTGGGGTTTTAGGGTCTGCACATCCCTTCTACTAATGGTCACATTTAACCTTCTCCATTATCTGAGAGAAGTTTGATAATACCTGTTTGCTGCGTTTAGAGATGAAGAAGCTGATAATCAAAGAGGTGAGATGGTTTTAAGTTCTCAGGGTAGCAAAGTTGAGGGTAGAATGTCCGTCTTTTGACTGTTCAGGGCTCCTTCATTTAACCACCCACCACGTTATCTCTTTCAAATATGGAACAGGGGCTTCCAAACTTCTTAAACCGTGAGCCACAGTACGAGATAATATTTTGTGCATTACACACGTTAAGTGTATAATCGAAACAAAAGCATCAGGAGACAGCACCGACCCTGGTTGAGTACAATGCATCCCGTTCTGTCCTATTCATTAAAGAAGCGCTATTCACAGCTCATTAAATTGACTCATAACCCGTTAGTGGAGTGAGACCTGCAGTTTGGAAAATACTGATCTGGAAGGTTCTCAGATAATCCCTATACAAGATGTAGCCACCACAATTGTTCATGGTCTCAAATATATAATGAATCAAGGGCATGAAGAGAAAAACAAGATGAACTCAAAGTGTCACTGACTAGGATGTATTGTTAGATGGATTAGGCAAATTAACTCTTAGAAATCTTTAGAAATAGGATTTTAAAAACTAAAATAACTGCACCACAGTTACTGGGTTTCTACCACATGGTCAGCACGGCATTTGTCAGTTCTGATCATTGCTGTCTCTTTACACATCTGAGTCTACCCACCCAACTTCCAACCTTAGAGGAAGTGGCTATCCTCAATCTCAGGGCATTGTGCCCTGTGTCTGATGGGCGCTCAATAAATATTGGCTCAATAAATAAAAAAAAATGAATAGCAACCAACCCACATTCCCATTACTCTCACTATTCAACAAAATTTTAAGTTAAAAAGGCAACAACCTGGTCTATATGAGGTCCATGATTTAAAAATTAGTGACTATGAGCACAGACAGTAGGGATATCACCCTGGGAAAATCCAGGGTCTGAATAGAGGGGGAAAAAGCATAAAGAAAGAAGGATGAACATGTTTCTAATTCATGCATTTATTCCTACTCTCTAGCATCCTGCAGAGTGGGTCTGTGCCCTTCAAATCAAGTCACTTTGTAAGGAAGCTTTTTTTCTCCCTTTTCCTTTGGTGACTGATTTAGTTGAAACCTATAGACTCTAAGTGCAAGTCTGACCAATGCAACTTAGTTGTGCAAGCGCTTGATTTTTGGCTCATGACTGCATTAGGAATGAAAGGCTGTGGCATGCTTTCAGGGGTGCACCTTACAAGCCATGGGGATGGAGGGGCTGAGAGTCCCTGCCACAGGGCCAGGACCTGCTTAACGAGAGCCGCACAACACACTCAGATGACCCCAGAAAGAAAGTCCGTGCAGCCCGACGCAAAAGGACAACGCTTCAGGTCCACACGGCTGTCTCGCCTGCAGGTTCCCACTGATACAAGTGCCAGCCTCTCTCCCTGAGTAGTCAAGCAAAGACACAGAATCCCTGGGGACCCAAAGGATGCTGGTACCACTCCAGCCCCCCTGCCCAATGGAGTGCTGTGTAAAACAGCAACTCTCCATGCTTACTTCCCCTGGCGAAAGAGCAGAGGCTATGTGAGTGCCCTGTTCTCTGAGTCGAGAGACTGCCTGTACCACCTCCACTGCTACCCACGCTGAATGATGCTAAGGGAGAGGCAGGGAGGGACAGCTGGATCGATGCCATCTCTTTGTTTTGCTCTTTGAAATGAATTGGGGGAGAAAGAAAGGTTGTCCGGCAACTGCAGTCCTCACGGTTTTGCTTTTGGACCTTGGTTGGTGGATAGTCATTAATAACGAAGCGACCAATAACAAGAGACCTATTATGTGAAAGAACAGTTTCATATTTATATGGAGATTTAAAAAATAATGTTAAGCTGTTCTCTGAGACATAGCAGCTTTGCTTTCTTCTATGAAATAGAAATACTTTTGGGGAATTGTGGGTGAACATAACGATTTAAGTGTATGTGAACAAAATGAAAAGAATATGAGCTAATTTAGGTCGAGCGGACCTGTGTTTGAGTGACAGCTCTGGCCCTTTCTCACCTGCATGATAGGGGTGAGGTGGGCGCAAGATCTCCTGGGTCTCAACCTCCTCCTGTCAGGATGGGAAAATAATACTCACCATGCAGGACTGCTGTGAGGGTCGCATAAAAATAGAACCAATTGATTTATTAAGTCGACGAATTCGATCTTTTTCACTTTTGATTGGGTAAATATGCACTTTTTAGTATCTGAGTGCACACCAATGGTTACATGTCAGCTCGCACGTATGTTCCAAGCCCGTGTTATAAAAATAAGACGCCGAACATGCTTCCCAACAACCCTTCAGGGCTTACTGAGGCAGAAAAGAGAAAAATTGAGTATGAGTTTTATTTTACAGGTGAAAAGACAAAGTCCCAACAAGAGGGTGAGTTCGCTGCCAGACCGAGCCTCCAGTACGCTCGCCTCGCGTAGCTTCCACCCACAGGTGAGCCGTACGCAGCTCCCCCGCCCGAGCCCTTCCCCCAGCGCCCGGGGCCGGGGCCGGGGCCGGGGCCGGGGCCGGGGCCGGGGCCGGGGCCGGGGCCGGGGGCGGGCACATGTGCGCGGAGCCTCGGACCGAGGAGGACTCGGCGGCTGCGGCACTGGGCCGGGGCCCTCACCGATCCGGGCACGACGAGCACCGGAGGCTCGCACCGGCCCGCACCCCAAGCGGTGTGGCCGACACACCAACCTTTCTCTTCCGGGGGATGGGCTCGTCAAAGAGCAGGTTGCTGGCCTCCGCCTCGTCGATGCCGTCGTCCGGGGGCGGGGGCGGGGGCGGCGGCGGCGGCGGCGGCGGCGGCGGGGGCGGCGCGGGGCTGCGGAGCGGCTTGAAGCTGTCGGCGGAGAGCGGCGGCGACGGCGTGGACGGGTTGGACTGGTCGCTGGGGGCGCTCCAGCTCCAGTAGCCGCTGCTGCTGCTGCTCGAGGGCACGCCGCCTCCCTCCTTCCAGGACCCGCTGAGGCCCTCGGGCCCTGCGCACAAACACAGCGTCAGCGCCCGCCGGGCTGCGCCCCGGGGTGGGGGGGTGGTGGGGGGGGCTGGGGGGGCACCGCGGGTGTGAGCGCGTGTGTGCTCGTGTGTGAGCGCGTGTGTGTGCTCGTGTGCGTGCTCGTGTGTGCGTGCGTTCACGTGTGCGTACGCGTGTATGTTCGTGTGTGCGCACGTATGCATATGTGCTCGTGTGCGTGCGTGTGCACATATGTGTGAGCGCGTGTGCGCTCATGTGTGCACGCCTGTGTGCTGCGTGTGTACTTGTGCGTGTGTGCACGTGTGCGTTGCGTATGTTCGTGTCTGCGCACGTGTGTGCACGTATGCGTGTGTGCTCGTGTGCGTGCGTGTGCACATGTGTGTGAGCGCGTGTGCGCGTGTGCGCTCATGTGTGCACGCCTGTGTGCTGCGTGTGTACTTGTGCGTGTGTGCACGTGTGCGTGCATGCGCACGTGTGTGAGCGCATGTGCATGGGAGCTGTGTGTGTGCACGTGCGTGCGTGCATGTGTGCACGTGTGTGAGCGCGTGTGCGCGTGTGCACTCGTGTGCACGCCTGTGTGCTGCGTGTGTACTTGTGCGTGTGCACGTGTGCGTATGTTCGTGTGTGCGCACATGTGTGCTCATGTGTGTGCACGTATGCGTGCGTGTGCGCATGTGTGTGAGCGCGTGTGCGCTGCGTATGTTCGTGTCTGCGCACGTGTGTGCACGTATGCGTGTGTGCTCGTGTGCGTGCGTGTGCACATGTGTGTGAGCGCGTGTGCGCTCATGTGTGCACGCCTGTGTGCTGCGTGTGTACTTGTGCGTGTGTGCACGTGTGCGTTGCGTATGTTCGTGTCTGCGCACGTGTGTGCACGTATGCGTGTGTGCTCGTGTGCGTGCGTGTGCACATGTGTGTGAGCGCGTGTGCGTGTGTGCGCTCATGTGTGCACGCCTGTGTGCTGCGTGTGTACTTGTGCGTGTGTGCACGTGTGCGTGCATGCGCACGTGTGTGAGCACATGTGCATGGGAGCTGTGTGTGTGCACGTGCGTGTGCACGTGTGCGTTGCGTATGTTCGTGTCTGCGCACGTGTGTGCACGTATGCATGTGTGCTCGTGTGCGTGCGTGTGCACGTGTGTGAGCGCGTGTGCACGTGTGCACTCGTGTGCACGCCTGTGTGCTGCGTGTGTACTTGTGCGTGTGCACGTGTGCGTATGTTCGTGTGTGCGCACATGTGTGCTCATGTGTGTGCACGTATGCGTGCGTGTGTGCGCGCATGTGTGCACATGTGTAAGCTCGTGTGTGCTCGTGAGTGTGTGTGTGAGCGCGTGTGTGAGCGCGTGTGTGCTCGTGTGTGAGCGCGTGTGTGTGCTCCTGTGCGTTCTCGTGTGCGTGCGTTCACGTGTGCGTACGCGTGTATGTTCGTGTGTGCGCACGCGTGTGCACGTATGCATGTGTGCTCGTGTGCGTGCATGTGCGCATGTGTGTGAGCGCGTGTGCGCTGCGTATGTTCGTGTCTGCGCACGTGTGTGCACGTATGCGTGTGCTCGTGTGCGTGCGTGTGCACATGTGTGTGAGCGCGTGTGCGCTCATGTGTGCACGCCTGTGTGCTGCGTGTGTACTTGTGCGTGTGTGCACGTGTGCGTGCATGCGCACGTGTGTGAGCGCATGTGCATGGGAGCTGTGTGTGTGCGCGTGCGTGTGCACGTGTGCGTTGCGTATGTTCGTGTCTGCGCACGTGTGTGCACGTATGCGTGTGTGCGCATGTGTGAGTGCGTGTGCACGCCTGTGTGCGTGCGCGTGTACTTGTGCGTGTGTGCACGTGTGCATATGTTCGTGTGTGCGCACATGTGTGCACGTATGCGTGCGTGTGTGCGCGCATGTGTGCACATGTGTAAGCTCGTGTGTGCTCGTGAGTGTGTGTGTGAGCGCGTGTGCGTGTGTGCACACGTGTGTGCTCGTGTGCGTGCATGTGTGAGCGTGTGCGTGTGTGTGCGCGCAGCGGGGGCGCGGGTCTCCGCTCAGGAAAGCGCTTGCCGCCCACCGGACAGTTTGCCACGGTTGGTAGGTAAGACTGACTCTGAACGTGGGGGGGATCGCGTTGCTCCATAGTTTGTAAACAGCTATTTCAATCACACAACAGGCTTTTCCTAACAGTTTTCTGATGCGTGCGGTTTTGTTCGACGCTAGTTTTGCAGGATGACAGTGGAGATTATGGGAAAATAAGAAAAAATAAGCTGTGCTTGCTTACGAAGTGTGGGAGCGCTTTGCCTTTCTAAGAAAAACATCTTGGGCAGTAGTCTCCCCCCTCTTCTGCCCTCATTCCCTATTTTAAAGAGAACTTTCTCAGAGGTCTGTGATCCTTGCATGACATTTATAGAAAAAGTCTCTGATGTAAGAGATTAATTTCCGGATAGTTACCTACAGATCTACCTTATTGTAACAGCTTACTCGAACGAGTAATAGTGCCCTACATTTGATGAGTGTCTTGCATCTCCCAGAGCTCACTCATACGATCTCACGCCATCTGTGTCTCCGAGGGAGGACCCTCATGCCTATTTTACAGATGGAAGTCCTGAGGCACCTGGAAGTTAAGTGACCCGCCACATGACTGGTATGTAAGTCAGACGGGTGCCGGGCCCAAAGCCTGGTCTACCGGTTGCTCTTCTCCTTCATGCATGTGGGCCTGTGTCGTGAGCAGCCTCCCTTGTCTTCAGCAAAGCTGAGATCAGAGGAGAATTTATTGGTAATTAGTACTGATGAGACTGGTGTGGGATTTTACCTTTCCTCTTGTGGGGAAACATTATGAAATGTTTGCTAATGTGGAGAGATCTTTGCCCAGCTAGAAGGTCTTGTCGCGGGAGAGGGGGCTCTTTTAATCACTAAGGATTTGCTTTCTTTCAAGATGCCCAATCTTAATGAGTGTTTGTATGAATTCTTTCTAAAGGATAATTTCTCCTTCATATTTATGTACATTCTGAATATATTAAAACTATATTCTAAGTACAAGGGGGGAAAAGTCTCAAAACGCCTCATTAAAAAAATGCTGCTAACATCTGTGTAATTAGTAATGAAGACAAATGGTAGACTTGGATTCAAGGGAAAAGTTCTTAACCGCCTTACGTAATTACGGATTGCTAGCGTATAGATTCAACTGTGTCAAACAAAAAGTTCACTGAGTGGACTGACGTTGAAACAGCAGGAGTAAGGCATCCATCTCATTCAAGCAAGGCTCTAACAGAATGCAGTGGTCATTTGTGAGGGCTCACACCCTGCCAGCCTCAACAAAACCCGACTTGGCCTCTCACCCCTGCGGTCTACACAGAGACTGAGGCACTGATGGGGCCCGAGTCACCTACTGTAAACAAGAAAGCTCCATTCACTACGACACGGTTTCAAGGGGAGCCTAATGTAGGGCCCTAGGTAATATTACCTGCAGTGACAATTACTTGGCATGGCCGGCTTAGGAGGCCTGTAAATCTACTGTGGCAAGCACCTGAAAAATAAAATAAGTTCACGGTGCTAGATGTGTAGTCATGCTAGGTATGAGTGACAGAATTTATTCTGAAAACCAACTACTATCACGGCGTGGCTACACTGCTTCATGTCAATGCCAAAAGTTACCTTGTTTACTTGTGAGCCACCTTTCCTTTAGAAACTATTTAAACAGAAGGACAATGTGATATAGAATTAAAGTTTTCAAAAAAGAAGTCAGAACCAGTTCAGAGTGTTTTTTTTTTTTTTTTTTTTAGAGAACAGCGTCTTCTTTCCTAAACAAATATTTGCCCCCAAATGCAGACACACACTGCTGGACTCTGTCTTTGCAGACCCACATCCGGACAAAATGATCCTTCTCAGGCCCAGAAAAGGAACACAACAGTTTTCAAAAACTCACCGACATACGGTAATTCTGGATATAATCTTGATTTCTAAAGAAATGAACAATTCCTTCATTTTCATAAACTGCTTTCTCTTTTAAAAAATTTGCTTCCTTCCAAAAAAAAATTTTTTTTGCTTTCTGTTGTAGACTAAACGGGAGATAATAGACAACTTGGGATTATTAATTGGGTAGTTATTTTTTTTAGATCATAACAAACACTGAATTACTTTCTTTATAACTGTGCTAACAAAAGTTTTCATTGAAGAAGTGAAAAGTTTCTTTTGATTCTAACTTTTTGATACAGAAGAACATTAAAGATGTTCTCAATTTAAAAAAGACTACAATGGTAAAAATGATGATTATAGCAAAAACATAATTTTTTTTTCCTCTGCAGTTCCTTTTTCCTCTGTTGGGTTTTGAAGATGCCTTCAGTTTGGGGTTTACTGTAATCTCTCTGTAGAGGCATTGCCTAGCTGAGAAAGGTAAGCCAGGATGCCTGTTTGCCAAGAAGCCCGGAGAAGGTCAGGTCATTCAACGGGGATGGTCAAGTTCATTTCCAGAGCACCTTACACCCCGGTTGGATTAGAGCAAGGGCTGGTGAAGACTCACTGGATGTTTAACATATATATTTTAACATCTCATGCTGAAAAGCAAATTATGTGGGAACCGTGGCTCAATCCCATAACCGACTAGGCTAGAGAAGGTTTTCCCTTGCTGGAAAGTTTCATCAAGTGCACTACATTCCAGTGAACTGCAGTCTGGCTTCCACCCATGGCTGGCCCACTGTGAAGGCTCTTGCCAAAGACACTGGTGACCTTCTACTTGGTACAGAATTCAGTCCTCATGATTGACCTTCGGTAGCACCAGAGGCTCTCCTTGAAACATGCTTTTCCCTTGACTTGCCTGGAACCACACTCTCCTGGTTCTCCTAGAGATCTCTGGGGAGCCTGCAGGCTCCCCTCAGGCTCTTTTCTCTCTGCTGGTCTCTTACATGATGATGGGTCTTACCATCGCCCTTAGCCACCTTCTCGTCACACTCTACCTCTACACAGCCCCCTTGAGGGGATCTCATCTCTTTCCCTGGCTTCACCATGATGCCTTCCAGTCCTGCATTATCAGCCCGGTCTCTCTCCTAGATTGTACCCAAATCCCCACCAGGCCCAGACCCTTGGAAGGTCCTCAAGGTCTTCCTACTGAACATGTTTCAGACTAGACCTTCATCTTGTTCAGCAGCCCCACTTCTTCCCCTAACAGTCGCCCAAAGATCTATGCCTCTGCTCTGCTCCCTATCTCAGGGAGGAGCCTCTTCCTGATGGCCTGGAAGTCACCCTTATGGCTGCCTCTCTTTCATCCTCTCCATCTCTCACCAAGTCTTGATACTGCCTGCTTCACTGTTCTCATTTATGTCCTATTCATCCCCACTGTGACCACCAAGGTCCAGGACACCTGTAGGGTTGTGTTTTTTGTTTTTGCCTGTAATCCCCCTCATAACTTTCCAGGGCCTACCACTTGATAGCTATCCTATTGCCTCAGATTAATGTCCAAACTCCTAGCCAGGAAAACATGGCTCCTCTTGATCTATTTGGGTCATGCTCTCCAACCTCATCTGCTGCCCTTCTGATTTAGCCTATGGAATTACGTGCGTCAATATTATATCCTAATTAAGATGGAAGATGTGGAATCAGAAAGATATCCACATATCTTTGGGGATTTTGGCTCTGATATTTACAAGGCAATTACCCCTCATTTGCCTCAGTGTAAAATAGCGATCGTAACATCTCATAGAGTCGTTGGGAGAATTATATGAGATGCAGTATGCTTAGTATTTGGCACACAACGAGTGCTTAATGAATGCTAGTCATCAATCTGATTGATAGGTTTTTTTCCCCCAAAGAAACTGTACAATATGAACGATTGAGTACGGACAGTTTTCAGTGATGTTTCCAAACCATCAAGTATGGTACCTAATCAATATATATTGAATGAGTGAATGCACTACATACTTATATTTGATTAATTTTATTATTCTGTTAGGATAATACTTTTTCAAAATGTTTAATATTCAGAGTTCTTTGATCCAACCGCCTGTCCAATGGACCAGAAATAATGCTGGTGAAAATAACTTCATTGGACCAATCTCCATTTACCTGGGAAAAAAGGAGCACAAGCATTGAAAGTTGTGTTCTGGAAAGGTGCTGGAGCTCAGTAAATGTGAGTTGAGTGGATGGAGGTATGAATGAGATGCTGTGAAGTCCCTGGGAAGATGAGGAGGAAGAGGATAGTTGTGATGTCTCCATTTCTCCCACATTTCCCCTTGCTTTCTGCTAATGGGTGACAGTTAACTGTTTATTGTGTTGGATAGAAATGAGGTCCCTCAAAGAGAGGCTCTGCTTTTGCTGTCAGGGGGCCCTTCCCTATGCCCCATATCCCAGGCTTACCATTCGGCCGCACAGGAGGGCTTCGAACCAACGGGCTGGTAGACAAACTGGTTAGTACCATTGCTGCTGTCACTTTGTCCATGTCCAGTTCCTCCGAAGATTTCCTGTAAAACAGGGAAGGGGGACACTGTTATCTGTGCTTGCTCTGTGCCTATTGTGGGCCATGTGCCCCAACATGTACCATGTACCACATGCTACTACACACATTTACACCTTTAACGTTATCCCCATAAAATCCAAACTTTTGTTAGTTTTATTGTACAGATCAGAAATTCTGCTGAGGTCCAGAGGTTAAGTGATCCAGTTGAAATCCTACAGTTTGAAAAAGAGAAGGGTTCATTCATTGGCTATTCATCTAATGAGTGTTTATTGAGAGTGCACTATGAGTTAGACCTTGTTCTAGGCATAGGTAATGCATGGTGAACTACAGACAAGGCTGGTGGGGAGAAACACAATTACCAGTAAACAAACAAAAAGGAATAGAATAATTTCTGATAGTGACAAGGGCTATGAAGTGTATAAGGAGGTTGACATGACGTTATTGAGGGTGGTTGCACTTAAGGTGGCCAGGGGTGGTTTCTCTGAGGAGGTGACATCTGAGGTGAAGTGTGAAGGGGGGGGCAATCAGTTTTAAGGAGGTAGGGAAGTGCCCTCCAAGCACAAGGGACAGCTGTGTAAAGGCTAGGTGGTGGGAATAAAAGGTGGGTAGTTGAAGAAGGATCTACTTTGGGGGAGAAGGGGAGAAGGGTGCAGAGCTGGTCATGTGGGGTCCTTTGGCCATGGGAGCTGTTTCAATTTTATTCTAAGTGGGATAGGAAGTCACTGGAAGGCTTTACACAAGCCTAGTGACATAATATGATTAAAAATAATGATCTGAGCTACTGTACGGAGAATGGATTTTAGGGAAAGCAGACTAGAAACAGGGAGGCCAGTTAGGAGACAATTGCTAGGAATCGGGATAAGAGGACATAGTGGCTTGAGCTAGGGTAGGGGCAGAGGCGCCTGATGGGGCAGGACCGGCTGGAGCACCGAGTGTGGGAGATGAGCAAAAGGGAGCACTCCAGGATGGCTCCCAGGTATTTGGCTTGAGCATTAACTAGCGCCATTTACTGAAATGGGAGGCAGTGGAGGAGAAATGCAATGAGAGGTATCTAAACTCCAGTGCTGTTTCACCACACTCTCCTACAGGAAGGACAGGTGATAGGAGTAGTTACCATGATATTCAAGTGAAGAGCCATCTTCACTGACATGAAGAGGTCACTCTGGTTCAGTACTTTTGGCCAGTTAACCCGAGTGAAGGTTCCTAAGATAATGATCATTGAGAACTGGAGCCAGCTTGCTGAAGCTGATTTCAATAAAGAAGTTAATATCGAGAGGCAAAAATTTATGTGGTACAGTGGCATCAGATAAATTGTACCACCTCCTGAGAGATGAACATTTTCAAATTAGGGAACAGTCAAAGACATACAACAGAGGATTAATAAACCATATTAACCAACGAATGCCACGTTTACCAACGTGGCTTACAGGGATGGTGTGCTGTATAATTTTTAAAGCAGTGAACTCTTAGAGATGGAAACTTTATAGCATCACTTCACAATACACAGGGAAAAGAGATTCCTAAATTGGAGAAAAATCAAATTGTTCCCCAATTTGGGAGGGCTGCTCGATTAACTTCATCATGAAATTTGATGTCATCAATCTGATTGATAGGTTTTTTCAAAAATTATTACAATAATTTTTAAAATTAAAATTATTACAATTTGGCTCTCCAATGTCCATGACGATGCTAATTACTGAACAAAGCTTACCCTTTTTAAAAAAAGATTTTATTTATTTATTCATGAGAGACAGAGAAGCAGAGACAGGCAGAGGGAGAAGCAGGCTCCTCACAGGGAGCCTGATGTGGGACTCGATCCTGGACCCTAGGATCACACCCTGAGCCAAAGGCAGATGCTCAACCACTGAGCCACCCAGGCATCCCCAAAGCTTACTCTTTCAATCCAAGGTACCAAAAGATGAGAATCTTTCAAATTTTTTCATATAGTTATTCTTAAAGCACCTTACCCTCTTTCTTGGCAAACTCTTCTATCAAAAGACACATTAATTTTTTTTTCAGAGAATGGTAATTAAATGCTTCTAGAAAGCAAGCTTGAGAGTACACAGTGAAATTCACTTTGCCAGAGTTTTCAAGACAATCTCATATACTTAGGGAAAAACCTGCTCATTCATTTGGCACACAATTAAAAGATTTTACAAAATCCATAATTGACTTGATCCTCATATTTGGGAGTAAAGGTGATGCCAGTTTCTTACAGAAACAAAGCCTCTTGAAACAGGAACTTAAAGTGCCTTAAGGTGATTTTGAGTATTTTGTTGTTTCATTCTCCCACGTAGTCATGGTCACGGGGGAAGGAGTAATGGGAGGCCTTGAGGGAGAAAGGTTTGCTCCACACTGAGCTCTGTAGACTGTGGGGCTCCTCTGACCGGCTGCCACCCACCCAGCCCAGCCGTAGGGATCACTCCACACCAGTGGGGGGCACACACGAACAGGCTGCTCTGACATCTCTTTCCACACTGAATTATGAGAGGCTAATTTCTGTTTCCAACTGTCAGTCTCTTCTTTTGCTTATTAACAAAAGGCTGGAGAATCAGGAGAAGCAGCCATGAGTTGGCACAGGGAAATGACACGCTTGTAGGGAGAAGGTGCCCCTGCCCTCTGCCCTGATTCTAAAGGGACTTGCTATGCAGGCATGCCTTTTTCCTCTCTTACAGCTCTGTTTCAGGAACATTCATTTTTCCTTCCTCAATCTGCTTTGTATCTTTTTGGATTTTTATTTTTTTATATCTAAGGCGAACATTCTGTTTTAGAGGTCTAAATGGCAGTTAACTCCAAAACTCATTTATGTGTTTTTTAAACATGAAGATCAACAGAGAAGGTATCATTAGAAAGTAACCACGAGAGACTCTTACCTATAGAAACAAACCAAGGACTGCTGGAGGGGTGTTGGGTGGGGGGGAACGGGGTAACTGGGTGATGGGCGTTAGGGAGGGCACGTGATGTGCTGAGCATTGGGTGTTATATATGCGACTGATGAATTACTGAACTCTGCATCTGAAACTAATGATGAGTATACTATATGTTGGCTAATTGAATTTAAATTAAAAAGAAGGAATTATAATTTTTTTTTGCATTGCCAAAATCTACAGTACATTTCAAAACAATTATTGAGTGTCATGAACTGGATTTCTGATGAAGAGTGAAAAGAGGAATAAACATTAATATAATCAGAACATTTTTTTTTTTTTTACTTGGATTACCCTTGACTTTCCCACTGGCCTTGGGAGATCATGAACAACAACAGTAACCAAAAATCAAAAGAATATATTGTTACTGATTCAATTAACCTATATGTCTCCTAGAGTATTTTTATTATGCTATGTGAAATGTTACCAGATGATATGGTCTTGTGCTGAGTTGTGTTTTTGTTTTTATCTTTGTTTAATTTCTTTTGGTACAGTACTATCTAATTACTGATTAATTGGTGCTGCAAATTCAAATCCTTATAATTAAACATGAAGAGATGATATACAAAGTAGAATTTGTTACACTTTGAGAAAACTGCTGCAAAGCCCTTCTGGTAGATTTAGATTTGTTGAGGGGGGAAAAAAAAACCCTCTAGAAGTGATGTTAAATAGTCTTTCCTAATTTGAAATTGAATCTGCTACTGAAAACCTTATCAATCATGTTTGCAAAAGGCCAGGAGCTTTCTCAATCTCTTTTTTTCCCCCAATTAATCTTTCCTCTCAGACTTAGTTGAGTATTATGGAACTTAATAATATTTAAATTAAAAAAATAATATTTAAATTCATTTAAAATAATAGTAATATTTGTTGTCATTCTATATATGATTTGTCCCTCAGATTGACCTGATTTGTATGGATGAATAGCATTTCAAGATGAGAGACACACATTTCAGGCAAGAAAAGAGTCCTATATGAAGGATGCAGTGGGTGATGAGAGAGGACAGAGCCTAGGTCAGTTCATGGGGTCCCATGTGCCATGCTAAGTGGTGTCACTAGCGAGGGACCCTTGCTTACAAGGCCAGCTATTGTTTATGTCGTATTCTTTTAAGCAGAGAGAAGCCACTGAACATTCCTGAACCTGAAAGAGAGAGAGATAATCAATCTGTATTTTAGAAATGGATCAAAATTGAAGATGTATGGAAGATGAAGAAACTAAAGGTGAGCTATTTAGCTATTTTCAGTGAAGTCTTAACCTAAACTCAAAGTATCAGATGAAGCAACAGCTATTCCTCTATGAAAAGAATATTTAGTCTAAGAGTACAGAACTCCCTTGATATCTGCTAAGGATGTGCCTGGACCTCTCTGGGAGAGGTGATGAAGGTAATGGTTAAGAGTGCAGGCTCTGGGGTTAGTTAGGTCATGGGGCTTCAACTCGACTCTCTGCCATTACTAGCTGTGTGACCTTGGATGAATCACGTGACATCTCTGAATCTCTGTTTCTTCATCTGAAAAAGGAGGATAAAAATAGATCTGTTGAGAAGATTAAGTGGGAAAACATACCCAAGCACCAGCACACAGCCTCATCCCTTGTCAGAGTTTCATAGACGTTAGCTATTATTAACCTTCAAATTCATGAATATGCCCATAGCATATATCCCCCGTGAAAGACGGCAGTATTACATTGCTTCACTTGCTCTTATTAGGCACCAGCACTAGCAGTTGTTGCCTTTTTTTTTTTTGGTGGTGGCGGTGTTATTTTTCATAAAGAACAAAACTGTTTTAAGTTCTTAGGAATTACTCTGTAAGAGGTGGCAACTGGCACATGGAGGAGCAGCTGCTGGGTCCCTTGCTAGAGCTTCACGTTGATGCCTTGGCAACGATCCAGCTCATGACGTCATGGCCCTTGAGGACTGTTCACAAATAGCCATAGCCTGGAAGGTGGTTTGGAGTTTATGTTTAAGAATTTCTGCCTCCCATTTCGACTCTTGGAGTGCTAGCTCTGCGCTAGGGGCTCTTCTAGAAACTGGAAGTACAGTCTGAAGGAAAAATCAGGCAGTTTCTGCCTTCCTGAGCTCTAGTCTATTGAAAAACCAGTTCTGGGACACCTGGGTGGCTCAGTGGTTGAGTGTCTGCCTTCGGCTCAGGGCGTGATCCTGGAGTCCCGGGATTGAGTCCCACATCGGGCTCCCTGCATGGAACCTGCTTCTCCTTCTGCCTGGGTATCTGCTTCTCTGTGTGTTTCATGAATAAATAAATAAAATCTTAAACAAAAAAAAGAAAAAGAAAAACCAGTCCTTAATCAAACATATGACAAATAAACATTAAACAGTAGATGGGACAAATGCCAGGAGAGTGGTGTGGATTTGATGAGGACCTACCTGAGACTGCCAGCTGAGGGGAGACCTCTTGGCTAGGGGGAGACCTTCCCACCGAGGGGGACTGGCAGTGAGCACTGGTGAGTTGTGAGTGAGCTGTGGGCTGGGTGGAACAAAAAGTATGGACAAGGCCACCTTTCAAAGGAATAGAAAGGCTGAGCATGGTGTGTTGTGCACTTGGAGAGGGGACGGCCCAGGTGGGGTCTCTGAAGTCCTGTTCAGGCTTTAATTCTTATCTTAAAGGCCCTGGGAATCACTCAAGTGTTTCAAGCAGAGTGGGGTTGGAGAGGTCAGGGAGGTTGGGGTGATGCTATCAGATTTATTTTCCAAAAGCTTGCTCTGGCTGCCGTGTGGAAAATGAGTTTCTTAGTTTGACAACCAGTCTTTTATCTGAGGACCTGACTGCCTGCTGACTATGGCAGCAGGTTGCAGAATGACATCATCTGCGACATGAAGAGGCAGTCAGGAGAGTGCGCAGCACCAGCGGCCTCAGCCCCAGGCCGTGGGTCTTATGCTGGCCTGGCCCTGGGCACTCGGCCGTGTCCTTGCTTACAAGGCCAGCTATTGTTTATGTCGCAAGAAGCCTTTTTTTCTTCTTTTGAGCCACTTCATGCCTGAATGCCATCTGTTTGGAGGGTGCATGCAAACATGGTCTCCCCTGGCTAACCCACCAGCTAACAGAGAAATGCTTTACATCCTGGAGACCCATAAAAGACATTTATCTGCAATTAAAGTACTGTAGTAACAAACGGAAATAAAAATGAATAATACATTCGTTAGATTAGCACTAATCCAGTTCCTTAGCAACTACCGAAATCTGCTGTCTAGACCAAGTTCAATTACTTTTAAAACTTGTGGTAATCCTAAAACGAGGAATAAAGTCTGAAAATAAAATCTCTTCAGGAAGGCCACAGTAACCATCGCCAATCTTAGAATTCTGGGAAAGCTTTTACTAAAAGTTTGGAAAACTGGGTTCAGTTAACTTTTAAATGTGATTAAAAAGCATGAGGCTTGGGACGCCGGGGTGGCTCAGTGGTGGAGCATCTATCTGCCTTTGGCTCAGGTCGTGATCCCAGGGTCCCGGGATCAAGTCCCACATCTGGCTCCCCATGGGAAGCCTGCTTCTCCCTCTGCCTGTCTCTGCCTCTCTCTCTCTCTCTCTGTGTCTCTCATGAATAAATAAATAAAATCTTAAAAAAAAAAAAAGCATGAAGCTTTGTTTCCTCTCTCAAGGTAGCCAGTAGCAAAAGTGGTCAATGTTAACTCCTCCAATTTATATTTAGCTGTTGTTTCTTTTAAGACTATAGGGAAGTACGGAAGCTGCCTATTGCAATGAAGTGTCCCATGGCCTTGATCAAACAAGATGGGAAAATTAGAGCAAACACATCATAATACATAGGCAATATAGACCAGTACTTCTAAAGCTGCCCGTGGTGAAGGATCGTTTTGATTTTTTTGATTTTTAAAAAAATTATTTAAATTCAATTAACATATAATGTATTATTGGTTTCAGAGGTAGAGATCAGTGATTCGTCAGTCTTATATAATATCCAGTGCTTGTTACAAGTGAAGGATTATTTTATTTTAATTTTTAAAGATTTTATTTATTTACTTGAGAGAGAGACCAGAGGCAGAGGCAGAGGGAGAGGGAGAAGCAGACTCGCCACTGAGCAGGGAGCCTGATGCAGGGTCACATCCCAGGACTCTGAGATCATGACCTGAACTGAAGGCAGAGGCTTAACTGACTGAGCCACCCAGGAGCCCTGTGAAGGGTCATTTTAAAGAAATCTCTAATCTGTCATGGATTGATACTTCTGTAAACTACAGAAAAGCCCTGGCCCATGGCAGTTGGGGTTCTATCATCCTGCTACACGAACCTGTAAACTATTGCTTCTCCTCAATTTCTGCACCTAGGTCATGGGGGACTGGTAGGAGAGTTTGTAGACTGTCACTGGCCCATGTTGAGTAGCATGGAACCAGGCAATTGCTTTGATATCCAATTCATTTTTTCCCGAAAAGACGATATTCAGTCCTGTTCCTTTCTTTCTCCCACCTGCTGCTCTCTCTTCTTGGATCCTCCCACTGTGACTTCTCTCCTGGCCCTTGTCACTCTGCCCACTGGGCTCCATATGCCATTATGAATAGCCACTCACTTACCCTCTCCCCTTTTACTGTACCTGGGCTTTCCACCAGGGTCACTCCTCCTTCTCATTGTAGTTACCCTGTCACCACCACTGTTGGCCTTTGACCTGCCTCCCCTAAACCATCCCTCCCCTTGAATGCAGAAACCCGGGTCCCCAGTGGCTCAGCTATGCAGCTGTTTTCTCTCTCTCCCTGTTTGAGCATTGACCAGATCGTCTATGAGCACCTCTTTCCCCTAAAAGTCACAAAATATTTTGGCACATAAATTATAGCCATTCTTGGGGTGCAGTTGGTTAAGCATCTGACTCTTGATCTTAGCTCAGATCTTGATCTCAGGGTCGTGAGTTTAAGCCCAGAGTTGGGCTCCTGGGTGGGTGTGGAGCCTACTTATTAAGAAATATTATAGGCATTATGTTTACATCATCTGGAATTATGATCCTGGGGATATAGTCAAAGCATCCCACATCCTAACTTTGTAGTTCCTGTTCCCTTCATACCAACAACATTCAGCAGAGTCCTGACCTTGATGGGAAGGATGCTACAGTCTGATGGACTAGGGTTTAATTCCCCAACAATTGCATTTACCAGCAGAGTGATGTCAGGCACATCATGTAGTTTTGTATAGCTTCATGTTCCTCATTTATGACATGTGAACGATAATAACAGCAACCTCATGAGGTTTTAGAAGAATTAAGTAGTATGTGTAAAATATCTGGCATATACTAAAGACTCAATTAATAGTCATTGTGTTCATTATCCCTTCCCCAAACTCTTATTTCAGTGAACTGTTCTCCAATTAAAAACCCAAATTTTATCTACTGAAGTATTTATAGGTGAAGTAGCATGAAAATTAGGATTTGTTCTAATACACTACAGCCTCCACTCTCCCGCCCCCAAAAATGTGAGTTGGAGGATGAGTAGATGAAATCGAATGGGTAAAATGCTGACAACTGTAGAAGCAAGGGGATGGGCACTGAGCGCTTCATTGGGTCATTCTCGCACTTCTGTGCTCACTTGAAGCTTCCATAGTCCAAATAAAAACGGAGAACACAAATCAGATTTTGGCCATCACCTGTTATTGCTCTACCCCAACCTCACGTTCCTCCTTTCCTTCTAGCTCACACTGTCTCACTATGTCTGCACTCCCATCTCCCAGGGACAGCCAGTCTCTGGCTTCCTCCATTTCCTTCCAGGTCACCACCTTGCCGCTGCCTACTTTCTTCTCTACCGTTTGGGGTTCACCAGTTGACCGCCTGGATGCATCTCTCACCAGCAACCTGCATCCCTGGCCTTTCCAGCCTTTTGCTTCACTGGTCCAGAACAATCAAACCCTGGCTGGGTTTCCCCTGGCTGTTCTTTCCTCTTCTGCCGTGGGGTGGCCAAGCGCTGATGGAGGACACCAAAGATTCTCAGTGGACCAGACCTCTGCACAGACCCTACCTGTGCTTCATCCCTCAGATCCTCCACCTGCCTTGGGTCAGCACCTATTCCCATTCACACTTGCAATTATTCTGTCTTCACCTCTCCAAGGTTCAACGCCTTACACACCCAAACAGCAGACACTCTTACCTCCTACCTTATTGGGAAAATTCAGGCCACTGATCCTGACTGAGCTTTTTACCTCCTTTCTTCAGTCTCAAAGGTAGGTGGAGGTGTTGCTTTTTCCTCTTTGCCTCCGCCTGTACTCTCCGCACCTGCCTCTGAGGCCTTGCTCCTCCCTCCCGTTCGCACTGGCTTTTCCCTGGGTCTATTTACGGCCCAGATGTCTTCCCAGCTGCACAAAGGGACATGAAGCAGGGATGCACAGAGCCGTAGAAAAGAAATGAGGGTGGTTAGAGCACAGAAGAGAGGAGAGACTCTCAAGGAGGGACAGGTTAGCAGCTTCAAATGTGGGAGACAGGCCAGCCCGGATCGGGATCCTCAGGGCTCCCCGGGACTAGCCGTGAAGAAGCAGGCAGCAACCTTAGCAGGAGCAGAAGGGGGATGGCTGTGGCTCGAGGGGTGGATGGGTACCAGGAGGTGAGAAACTGTGACTGTAGGTGACTACCTATCATCTATCTATCTATCTATCTATCTATCTATCTATCTATCTATCATCTATCTATCATCTATCCATAATCTATCTATCATCATCATCTATCTTTTATTTCTGTATGTATGTATGTAGGTGACTCTTTAAAGAAGCCTGGCCATGAAGGAAGAAGAGTGTGGTTCTTTGAGGGAGTTAAGACCCTTTGGGTTTTTTCTGCTTCAGAAGAATGGAACTCCAGCACATTCCAAGAAAGAGCCACAGCACTGGAGAAGTTGCAGATACAGGAGAGAAGGGCTTATAAAGGGACAAGGCTGCCTCGGAGTGGGGTCCCCGGCTTGGGTGGAGTTCTCTTTAGATGAAAGGAGGAGCAACTGGCCTTTGGAAGGGGAGCACGGAGAGCAGCCGTGGCCTGGGTGCGGGCACATTTGTAGGTGTGCGGCTCCGAAGCTGGTGATGTTCCTGGAGGCGGTGGCTCTGACCCCTCCTCGGAGGGCAGCACCGTCCCCTCAGGAGGCAGGGATGGGGGGGGGGCTCTGGTGTGCTAAGGGTTTCCGAGGAGACCCACACGCTCGCAAGCCTGTGGGGCCGCAGCGCCAGCTCCGCTGAGGATGCAGCCGTGGGGTCTGTCCCAGTGAAGTGACCGCGGCT